ACTTTTTATATAACAATATATTACATATATTATTTATATAATAATATATTATATATATTTATGTTTGTTTAAATCATAACATCTCATGTGATAATGTGGTTAGTGTCTTTCTTTGTATAGATTTGATCCAGGTTCGAATCCCACACTTTACATCTATTTTTCTCAATTTTAGTTTAACGAGCCAATTTCGAGCCGAACACGAACACAAATATTTAAATCGAGCCGAACACGAACACACTGTTCACGAGCCGATTTCGAACACGAGCTATTTCGAACGAGCTGAACATGAGCCAAGCCTGAGCTCGCTCAAGCTCGGCTCGTTTACAGCCCTAGTCATGAGTCCTGATGCAGGCAGTCACATGTGCAGGTAAACCTATCTTAGTAAACAAAATTAATTTAATAAATATTTGGGTCTGCCTGTACACGTGGTAGGCTCTGATTGGAGTTCTAACGTAAAACTACTTTCATACAATAATTTTGCCTCGTATTAGATGCTGGAGAGGTGTGGAGTTTAATAATAAATAAATTAACATTTTATGACAATAATTATTTCAATCAAAATTCACATCAATATTATCTTCAAGATTATCACATGACTTTTGATTTGAAAATACAAAAATAAAAAACAAAAATGTCACAGCAACCCAAAAATTTTAATAGGCACAAAAGATTTTCTACAACTAGGACAAAATGTATTGTTTGCAAGGCCGTCAACATCACCATAAATGGTATATACAACAATAACCGTAATTTCAACCAAATGAGGGCACACAAATATAACTATTACTTGTGAAAAGTAAAATTTAAACATGCAATTCTATATTCGCATGTGATCGAACAACAATAATAACAAAGTCTTAATTCCACTATGTGCGGTCAGCTACAAGAATCCTTTTTCTTCATTGCATCCTATTTAGTGTCATATTCGCATGTGGAGGCGGCGTGGTGCCACACCACACTTTTTTGTATTTGACAAAATAATATATTGTCAATTTTTTCAAAAAACTTTAGCTGAAAGTTGTGTTTTGCAACCTTACCTGCAGGGGGGCAATATTTATATGAGATGACAATTTGATTGTTTGTCCCTCCTAAACTATCAATTTTGTCCCTCAAGAAATATTATTTTAATTGTCATTCATTGTTCTAACCACTCCCACGTTGGGTCTAGACGGGCAGTTTAATGTTCTAGGCGAGCAATTTAGTGACATATTCACATGTGATTGCGTCCCATAAAGAAAAATATTAAGTTGTCCTAACCACCCTCAATTATGCAGTTCATCCCCCCTAAAAAAGAGGTTGGTTCCAACCCTACTTATATGGATAAGTGCGGCGGTTGTCGGAAATCTATGATATGACTTTTTGAAGAAAAAAAATTATAATAAAAAAAGTTTTAATTTTCTGAATAACAACATTTTCTACAGCAGCTTCACAGTCATTTCTCTAAACAGCTCCAGCTGACCCAAATGGAGCCCGACTCTTACATTGTTCTTTGCACCAATCCACTAAATGGCCATATGTCAACCACAAGCCTGATTCATTTGTAATAAAAAAAATTAGTTATCTTCCACGAACAAATTTGAATTCAACTAGAGATTACAAGCAATCTTCAAAGGAGTCCCAATCGCAACTCCTTGTCATCCAATAAAAGAAAGTTGTCCATACCGGCATAAAAACTAGTCAACATTCAATATGGAAATGTTGTCTCAATATAAAATTAACTCGATGTATATATGTATACATACATATAGTTAAACATCTCTTTCATGCATGTTGGTTCCAACTTTCTTATAAGTAAAATTCGTGGAAGTCACTGTGCCAAGAATTTTGGAGTTCAAATCTTACTTTGCATTGAGTTTTTTTTTTTAATTAAAATTTATTTATTTTTAAGCTAAGCCTTCAAAAATAAAAAGATATATCTCCTTATCAAAAGCTATAGATGGAGGATTAAAACATTTAATCAACTTTTCGCTTTGTTCAACGTTTAGGTCAGTAGTAAATTTATAGTGAATTTGAATTCTTTCTTAATCAAAATTAAGTTATTTAAAATTAACATATAAGGTCGACTTGACAAAGCTCTACCTTGACTTTAAGCGATAGCTTTGGAAGGACACACACACACACATAAAGTGGACACTTAACAATTTTGTATGCTCTGGTAATCTAATTTCTCACAAATTATTCTAAATTGTGGAGAAGTATGATTTTTTATTAAATGAGAGCATATAAATTACCTTATTATTTAAGGTTGCACTAAATATTTGGAAATATCAAAATTTAATTATAAACCTATATATATATATATATA